GGGACCCGGACGCCAGTAACGGGCGCTGCGCTGTGGGGGTTTGTTGGGAAGCCCGAAAGGAGCAGACGCGGCACGTGGGCGCTGCCATACAAACGCTGGTCACGTATCCCAGCTCAAGCCTTGTGCCCCCTTTTAAAGGCTATGGCTTTGTCTAAAAAGCTGCAGCTGGTTTGAAGCGAACACATTTTTCTCGGGAAAGTGTATTTTACATTTGTGTAATTCCCACATAGTGTTAATGGGTGCAGGGTAGTAGTCTTGCTGGTTGTTTCGCTGTGGAGAATGTTGTCAAGGCTTAAAAAGCTATGACCGGAGCAAGTTCAAGCGTTTGTATTTACTGTGGGTGAAAGATGTTTCGCTCTGCCCCCTTCCCCTGGAGGTACTGGCATTTACACTGATAGTAAAACAAAAGGATTACTGTTCAGACTGTTTTCCCTCCCTCCCTGAATTGGGTGGTGAAACAATGGTATTAAGACTTGAAAGGCATAATCTTGTGAATTATAAAGACCTGTAGTAATAAAAGCTTTAGCTTTAAAGGAAATTCGACCATGCCGTACAATGCTGGAGGTAGTCAGTTGTACTAATAGGCCACAGCGTCTGGATGTCTCTTGCAAAGTTTAGTTTGATTCCTCCATAATTCCTTCAGGGGCTGGTGTTTTTTAGCCTTAGTTTCAGCTTAGAAATACTTTTGGTAAGAAAAAAATGTTACATCTGATGAGCCTTTTAATTGTGGGCTATAAAAAGTGTTCAAGAAAAGGGGGGAGGAACAAAAGAAGCGGTTTGAAATAATACTTAATTTTTTAAAGTCATTTTTAACAAACTTGTTACCCAACTAATGTTACCATTTCTCCTGATGACGTATTTGAAAAGACGTCGTTCCTAAAGCTGATGTGCATTTATGTTTGATGTCATTCTTTGATGCTGTTTCTCCAAAGGGGATGCCTGAAACCTGTCTTGTAACATCTGCTGACTTTCACAAATCTGTTGTTTGTCAGCTGCTCTTGCCTTTGAAGGACATGACGTTCGTTTGTATCCTGATCCGTTCTGAAATCGGGTTCCTCAGCTGTCATCTGGCTGTTAAGAAAGTCTCCTCACTTCTCGGGATCGTGGTGCCATTGCTCTGAGTACACTTGAAGGGAGACTGCAAAAACTGCTGGATAACCAACGGTAGTACCAGATACGCATACGTGAACTAAGACTAAGGCAAATCCAGCTGTGTTTTCTGGAGGTAGATACTCTTTTGGTCAGTAATTAGGCAACTCATCAAGTTGCTTATCTGACAGTATCTCTTCCTGAGACAAAGGAAATGTACTCTTTAAAATCATTAGATGGTTTATTTGTCAATGCAGCAGTTAGTTAGATTCCATTGTATAAAAGTAAAGATGTATGAAATGGAAGTTACAGCTGAAAAGGCAAAATCAAATTATAAAAAATTAATATTCTGACATGATATTTAAAGGAAGATAGTGCAAGCTATTCTGTATACTTAGGTTAAAGGATAAAAAAAGTTCTTAAAATATGCCCAAAAGTTGGTTTCTGTGCAAAAGCCTAAGATGTCTCTGAGCTCTCAACACACAGTGTTTTGCTGAAACAAGATGCTTTCTGCATATAACCTAGGTCAGTGGTAGCCTGCGTCATCACTGATCCTGAGCGTTATAGCTGTGACAGACCTTATTTTTTCACGCTGCATTACAGGCCATGATTAAACCCCTGTCCTGCCTCAAGCCAGAGCAACAAATACAAATTACAGTTCTTCCTGTCAGCAGTCTGACTGATAGCAGAGGACATAACATTCAGATGGTAATTTTTGCGGGAAATGTGTTTTCTGTTTAAGTCGGAGAATAGTTTTAGATACCCAGTTATGGTTAGATAATAGGATGTTACATATAAGGAAGACGGAACAATGGCAAATACGGTGCTTTTAATAATATAACTGAAATGGCCACGAAAGAATTAAAACAATTGGACAACCTGGAAACAAAAGAAGAAAAGAGGCTGTTGAATTTTATAACTAAAGAACTAATCTCACAGGTATGTCGCAATCTGCATTTCTTATATCCCCAAGTCATTTAAAGGTGTCCATGCGCACTGGGGAAGTGGTAGTGAAGACTACATTCAGATTGTGAATGATGACCATTTGACAGGTCTGCTAAGATACCAGGAAAATATGTTTATGCTTATATATCGCACCAGGAACTGAGAACAATATGTATCAGAGATGTTCCAAGACACAGTAAATAATCTAAATATATTCAAATACAGATTTTCAAAGAATTCAGTGCTAGGAAATGGATTGCGTAAAGTCATTTGATGGCCCCCAATTGAAAGTTAATTTCATTTTGAGTATAAACTTCCATACTAACAGAAAGGTTTTTATGGAAAATGAACCATTTAAAGCATTTTTTGCTCAGTTTTCTTGCAGAAATTTACACTTTCTAAGCTGCATCATGCAAAAGCAGAAACTGGAGCATAGTGCTTTATTTAGATTGGGGTTTTCATCTGCTTGATTAAGTGGTCAAAGACAGAGGGATGGAGGAGCAAGCAGAAATTAATGTATCTTTACTGCAGGAGAGAGAGGAATGGAAAGAGAAGGGAAAAAGGGAGTCGAACACTATCCCTTCTGCTATGACCCTCATTCTGTTGACCCTTGTCCATGGAGCACTTATCTGCCCTCTGGGGAGCGCTGGTGCCAATCCAGTGTCTCAAGACCAGCGGAAACAAAGGAGACAAAGACAGCACCAGCAATTGCATCTAAGGATTTTACATGGGACTCAGAGTAAAAGCTTCGACAGGGAGAGCCAAGCAGATGGGCCTTATCAATCTTGTTGCCCAGGTGTCTGTGGTCTACTTCACAGTGAGACTCGCGCACTGGTAGCCATGGCCAGTAGGCAACTAAATGTGTCCAGCCCTGTTTTCTGGCTGTGAGGCCAACTGGCATGTAATGAGCTGCATCCATGCTATTGAACCCTGCAAAACAGGGTGCCTGCTGCCAAACTCCTGATAGGGAACAGTGCCTCTGGTGGTTCCCAGAATCTGGGGTTTGCTTGGTGGGGAGCTAGCCGGCCTGGGGCAAAACTGTGCTAGGACCTCCTGAACAGCGTAACAGTGTCAGCGGTTCGGTGCCAATGACTGGGAATAGGCCATGGCACGTTTCATTCCACAGACGTAACATGTGCCTTCCCCCCATGTCTTCTTTCTAGCCAAGGTACGAATCCTGCTAAGGCAGTAAGCAGCTATACTGGACTGCCTATTTAAGACTAAGTATTTACAAGTTGGGGGGGGGTTGTTGTTGTTGTTTTGTTTGTTTGTTTTTTTTAAATTAACCTCTTTTTTTTCCCTTCCAGATTATGGATCTGATTAGTTTTGCAGGTAGTTAACCTAGAAGTAAGAAAACCCAGATAAGGGAGGGGGGGTGTTAGTTATTCAAAAGAGTGTATCCTACATCACAAGCAAGAACAGCAAGTGCTCAAAACTACCTCATTGTTTTCTACGAAGGACTATTTTAATATTTCTAATTGCACCAAGCCCCCAAAAGTTACCATCCCATCTATATGTGCTTTCACCTTACCGCCTGTTTTTTATAGCAACAAGAAAATCCCATCAAAGTACAGTTCAGATATGAGTCCTGTACATAACCTAATAGTCAGTGTTAGACTAAAGGTTTAAACAATGCCTGGTTTGCTCTTCAGCAGAGGATTTCTCTCAGTGCTACTAGGGTAGAAAATTGCTTTGAAATTGCTGAAGTAAGCAGTTAGTCCCTCCTGGTTCTCTGCTTGTCCTGCGCTTCTCTCAATAGGCTTGTATTGCTTGTATCTCCTGCAAGGAATGTGCACAGTTAGTTGCTGAAAGACATTTAAATGAAAGTCCACATTTAGCATGTGACCAACGTGTAAGAGAATTAATCATGTATTCATAACATATATTCTCTCTCCTCCTTCCCTCCGCAGTCCCATCTAATGGTTAACAGCCGTAGGTCAGCAGGGGTGACTAAGGCCTGGTTAATGAGAAGGCTCCGTTGCTTAGTGGAGTACTGTTGCTCTGTGGAGGTGTTTCTTTCTCACCACTGACTGTGAAGGGCGGGCGTACTCTTGACTCAAGAGTCTTGGTGCAATCTTAAAGTTTCGTGAGAAACGTCCAAGCTAATAATGCAGTAACGTGCTTCTGTTAACTACTTTCCTGCATGCCCAGCACCTTTTCCCCAAAGAATTTATTTGTCAATTATTTAATGAAGAGTTTTTATGATTAATTCTTGATCTGCCAGTCATTCACAAACACGTCTTCTAAGAGTTTTAGAGCTAAATTAAATTTCTGTTTGTTAGGTTTTACTGCATATATGAATCACATCATGCAGTTTGAGTTTGCTTACTGCTTACATGCAGTTCCCAGGCCTTCTAGTATTACTGTTTGTGCTGATGAGCACAGAATGTAATTTTCTATGAAAGTCTTTAACATTAGCATATTTTCCAATGGTTTTGTGGCTTAAGCCAGTAATCTCATTTTCTTGAATATTTGCCAGAATATTTGTGAACAACAATAAAAAATAAACAAAAATACAGCTAGTGCAAATTTAAGTTGTTGGTTTTGTTAATTTAAACTAATATTTTTGACAGTTCCTTGAACTGGTTTTAATCCTAGAAACTAGCAACTTACTTGTAAAGGACAAAAGCCCCAATGGCGGCAAATACTGCCAACAAACCAAGGAAGATAAAGACGCCTTCTGTTGTTCCTGATGATGATCCTAGAGTTCAGAAAGTAGTTTGATTAAAAGTTGGCCTCGTTTTTACAGTGAGATAGATTTTCTAAACAGAACGTCATTTTCACTTGGTTGCTGTAGAGGTTGAAGTACACTTAACACTTCTAATATGCCAAGCATTGGAGGTCAGTGACTTTGGCAGGAGGTGGTGCTTTCACATCCTAATCGGTTTAATTCACGGTTCCACCAGAGTGTGAGTTGGGCTTTGCCAGTTTTCTCATATGAGCCATACTCCTGATATGCATGGCTGCCCTTCCAGCATGGAAGGGAATGGAGGGTCTTGCCGGCACCCCACAAGGTGGGGCTAATTTGCTCCTTTCCAATTGCTATGCTAGGGAAACGTTTACACTGAGAGTGTAAGAGATGCAGTCTCTTTATAAGCTTTGATGTTAGAATCAGCTTCATCTTTCTCTTAGGGATGACGGCCAGGGGGAAAGGGGATAAAAAAGGAGTTTCTTAAATGTTATTGTTTGTTGCAGTCCCATATGTGGGCTCATATGCATGAGTGTGGCTGAGAGCTTGATGGACCTTAGGCTTGTTTGCCTTATCCAAGAGGTGAGGGCTCTGCTTTTTTAACGTGCTCATTCTGGGAAATTAACTTTGGGCTCTGCCTGTCATTGAACTCTGCCTTCTGGTTTGCCATCAACCATTTCACTCACATCTACTCCTAATTCCATCGTATCTGATGGAAGAAGCTAAATCATTACAAGTATTTTTTTAAAATTTGTGTTAAATATCTTAATTTTCCAGTCCACAGGCTGTACCTTTATTGAGTTTACTGACACTGAGACACATTCTTGGTCCTCATATTAACAACAGTGTTTATACAATGAAGTAACCTAGAGGTGCATGTTGGCTTACCTTTCCAGTTTTTAATTTATAATTGCTGTCTATGAAAATCAAGATATCAAGTCAGGGTTTACCATTTACTTGGTACCTGTGCCTCATATATTTCTCGGTTTGTTGAGACAATTGTTTGTGAAGGCTTGACCTCATTCCTAGTTTGCACAATATTTTTGCTGAGACTGTAGGGATTTACCTTATTTTATGAATAAAGTACGTCCTTGGACTAGTTTGCAAAACAACGCATACTGATGGGATGGGTCTAAGTCACAGAACTGCAACCCATTCAACAGCAGTTTAAGCAAGTTAAGAGCGGATGTTTTGTGCAGTGCCTGCATAACCCAGGCACAGTCCTGCCAAATCTCAAGGGCCAGGTGCTTAGGCACCAAATACTCAGGCACCAAATTATGGGATTTTCAGAAATTCGTAAATACTTGTCTTCTCTTGAAATGAGTGGAAAATTGTGGCACATGAGAAAGGTTTGCAAATGTTAGATGGGCTCCTCCAGAAGTTGACTCAAAGCAGCAACCTCTCTTAGATCCTAATTCTGCTTTGATTATAGTGGAAGCCCCAAAGTACAGCTTAGCTTTGCCCTCTGGAGGAAACCTAGGAGGACCAGCCTTGTTGGGCTAAAGTTAGCCTCTGTGAATACAGTTTTGAAAAATCCTACTGCATGCTTATTTTCATCTTTAGGAGCCAGACTGCACTTACAGGTCAGACATTGTGCCTTAGTCACCATGAACTGATTTTGGTAGAGCTAAATTTATGCCTAGATTAAATAAAATCAGCCAAAAATACTCTGGCAAATGACTGCAAAGGGTCAGTTGCTTGGCTGATAGTAATTAGAGTTCAGAAGAGTCATCAGGACATTGTAGTGGGAGGTCAGGAGAGCAATGGAGTGGGAGCAGGGAGACAGCATGATCGTTTAGACTTCTGACTGTGGCTGAGTTTAATAACTGGTTCTGTCAAAGACTGCTTGGATAACCATGAGCAAGACACAGTGGTACTCATCCAACCAAAGGTAAACCTCCTGTTCTGAAATAGTCACCCTGGGCAGACTCTGTAGTCAATGAATGTTACACAGACCTTTCCAGAACCTGATTCATCTTATCCTCATGTAGAAATAGAAACCTGGTCAAGGTCAATGGGCTCCAAAGAGGGCCCAGGGCAGCCAGCTCAGCTGCAGACTTTGATTCTGTCTCAAATGAGCTGAATTCCTCTCTGTTTCTTCTATTTCTCCATGTGTGGAGTAGGCTGGCTGGCATGTCCCCCACCTGCTTTTCTGCCCAACAGAGTTTTTCTGTGGAAAAATACATTATGGCTTAAGAATGGTTCATACTCTGTGATACTGAAGGGTTTGTATAATTACTGTACTCATTGGATCGTAAACGTAAATCAAACCAAGTTCTAACATCTAAAAT